CACCCCCACCAAGGTGGGCAGACACGAGAAGCAAAAGGAACTATGATCTTGCAGCCTACGGAAAAGAGACCATGAATGCAGAAAGTTAGACAAAATGAGATGACAAAGAAATAAGCTGCAAATGAAGGAACAAGAGAAAAACCCGCAAGAACAACTAAATGAAGACGAGATAGGCAATCTACCCGAAACAAAAAGAATTCAGAGTAATGATAACAAAGATGATCCAACATCTTGGGAGGGTGGGTCGGGAAGTGGAGGCACAGATTGAGAAGATACAAGAAATGTTTAACAAACAGCTCGAGGATTTAAAGAAAAAACAGATGAATAATGAACTGAAAATGAAATGTTTAGTGAAATAAAAAATACACTAGAAGGAATCAACAGCAGAAGAACAAATTAGTGAGCTGGGAGACAGAGTGGTGGGAATCACTGCCATAAAACAGAATATAGAAAGAAGAATGAAAAGAATAGAAAAGAACAGTCTGGGACAATATTAAACACACAAACATTAGCATTATAGGCGTCCCAGAAGGAGAAGAGAAAGGGTCAGAGAAAATATTTGAAGATATTATAGTCAAAATTTCCCTCCCATGAGAAAGGAAGCACCCACTCAAGTCCAGGAAGGGCAGAGAATCCCATAGGGGATCAACCCAAGAAGGAATACACCAAGACATAGTAATCAAACTGGCAAAAATTAAATAAACGGAAAAATAGTAAAAGCAGCAAGGGAAAAGCAACAAATAACATACAAGGGAATCTCCATAAAGTTTTCAGTTGATTTTTCAGCAGAAACTCTGTAGGCCAGAAGGGAGTGACACAATATATTTCGAGTGATAATTGAAGGGGAAAATTTACAACAAAGGATACTCTACACAGCAAGGCTCTCGTTCAGATTTGAAGGAGAAATTAAAAGCTTTACAGACAAGCAAAAGCTAAGAGAATTCAGCACCACCAAACCAGCATTGCAGCAAATGTTAAAGGAACTTCTCCACGTTAAAGGAAAGGAAGTGTTCAATGAAACGTTAAATGTTAAAGGAAAGAGACCAACAACTTAAAGCAACCTTGTACATATGTGGACTGCTAAATCAAAACCTCATGGGAACAGCAAATCCCAAAGCTACAATAGATACAAACACAAAAATGAAAAAGTGGACTTGCCTCCTGGTCCAGTGGTTAAGAATCCACGGGCCAATGCAGGGGACATGGGTTTGATCCGTGGTCTGGGAAGATCCCACCTTCTGCAGGGCAGCTAAACCCAGGCACCACGACTGCTGAGCCCGCACTCTGGAGCCGACAAGCCACAGCTTCTGAGCCCGAGCGCAGCTAATACTGAAGGCCGTGCACCCCAGGGCCCGTGCTTTGCAACAAGAGACGCCACCACAATGAGAAGCCTGGGCGTCACAAGTAGAGGGTAGCCCCTGCTCACCTAAGCAGAGAAAGCCCTCACTCAGCGATGAGGACCCAGCACAGCCAAAAATAAGTAAATACAATTGCAGAACAGAAAGACAAATAGCACATGATATAACTTTATACAAACACAAAAATGAAAAAGTGGACTTGCCTCCTGGTCCAGTGGTTAAGAATCCACGGGCCAATGCAGGGGACATGGGTTTGATCCGTGGTCTGGGAAGATCCCACCTTCTGCAGGGCAGCTAAACCCAGGCACCACGACTGCTGAGCCCACACTTGGAGCCGACAAGCCACAGCTTCTGAGCCCGAGCGCAGCTAATACTGAAGGCCGAGCACCCCAGGGCCCGTGCTTTGCAACAAGAGACGCCACCACAATGAGAAGCCTGGGCGTCACAAGTAGAGGGTAGCCCCTGCTCACCTAAGCAGAGAAAGCCCTCACTCAGCGATGAGGACCCAGCACAGCCAAAAATAAGTAAATACAATTGCAGAACAGAAAGACAAATAGCACATGATATAACTTCCTTGTGGAGTCTAGAAAAATGGTACACATGAACCTATTTGTAAAATGGAAATTGCGTTGGGGGGGGCAAGGGAGAGGAGGACAGCTTCGGAGATTGGGAGTGACACATAGACACTGCTCTGTGTAAACAGATAGCTAAGGAGAGCCTAGTGAGTGGCACAGGCAACTGTATTATCCTCTATAATGACCTGTGAGGGCTCCCCTGGTGGCTCCGCCCGTAAAGGGCCTGCCTGCAATGCAGGAGACCTGGCTTTGATCTCTGGGTCAGGAAGATCCTCTGGAGAAGGGAACAGCAACCCACTCCAGCCAGTGTTCTTGGCTGGAGAATCCCCTGGACAGAGGAGCCTGGCAGTCTGCAGCCCATGGAGTCACAAAGAGTCAGACAGGACTGAGCGACTAACCCTGAACTGAACGGAGTGACCTGTGTGGGAACAGTATGAGAAGGAGCGGGTACATGTCTGTGTGACTGACTCACTTGGCTGCACTGCAGAAAGTAACACAGCGTTGTAACCCGATGATATCCCAATTTAAAATTAATTTAAAATAATTAAAAAATTTTTAATTAATAAATAAAAGTTAAAAGATTGGCGCCTGGCGTTGTTCCACAGGACTGAGTCTTCACTCCAGGGATCTGACACTATCTCCAGGTTGACAGTGTTGGAGCATTGTTCGTTGGTGTGAGCAATCTCCCCCTCCACGTGTATTGAATTGGGTCTAGAACCTTTAATACAAAAGTCTTGGAAGTAAATCACCATGTAATCACAACAACACAGAGATGTACAAAACTAAATGGAGAAAAGCCAGGAATTAGGCCAAGGTCTTGTTGATTCAAGGCCCTCTTAGGCATCAACCTCCTTCCATAGGAAGAAGAAGGCCAGGATTGCTTCACACACTCTCCAAACATAAAACCGGGAATCGGATTTAAAGCTGGTCTTCATTTTTCCTGGAATCCCCAGTTCTGCAGTTTTCGTCAGCCCCACCAGAGAGCAACCTTTCTGTATTTATGCTCCTACTTGCAAAACATATGTGTCAGGCAAAGCACAGGCCTGACCTTCAAGTCTGAACGGAAGCGTTCATGACCCAAATAAATCCCCGGCTCTGCAAAACTTATCCCACTTTTAAACAGTCTAGGTAGATAATTTTGAAATGCTAACATGATAACTCACTGAGAAAAGCCTCCAAGATTTGGGGTGAGGGTATTCTTTGAATCGTGAAAGTGTTAGTCGCTCAGTCATGTCCAACTCTTTGCAACATGGACTGTAGCCCTCCAGGCTCTTCTGTCCGTGGAATTCTCCAGTAGGAAACTGGAGTGGGTTGCCATTCTCTTCTCCAGGGGAATCTTCCTAACCCCGGGGATGGAACGCAGGTCTCCTTCATTGCAGGTGGATTCTTTGACTTCCAGCAGTAAACCAGACCCCAGGGATACTCGGGTGTAAGAACCCCACCATGGAGCTGTGGGCCCAAAAGTGCCCAAGTCAGGTTCTGGGAAGAGAGAACGTTCACTGGGGCGAAGGACCTGCAGGAAGTTGTCTCTGGCTCCATGGCCCTGTCTTTTCCCAGCCTTGGGAAAGCTGAGCATCTCTCTGAGATCTCCCACACCAACGAGCAACGCTCTAACACGTCTACCTGGAGGTAGTATCAGATTCCACAGGACAAAGGCTCAGCCCTACAGAACGCCTCCCATCCCTACACCTCCAGATGCCAATTTTTTCATTTTTATTTATTTTTAACAATTGTATTTGTTTTTAAATGCTTTGTACAAGGATGGTTCAGGGTCATGGCCAAGGCCCTTGCACCAAGCTAAGGCAGGGAGCCTGAGGACGTCTCAGGCTGTTCTCTTCCATTGGGGTACAGAACCCCCATTTGGGACCAGTGGGCTGTGATGGGTGGCAGATCAAATTAATAAAAGACACCCACACATACCTCCTTTAAATGCCTTGCATACACTGCAGACTACGACCACCATCACAGAGGCTGGTAACAGTTGCATCACAGCAGAGTCGGAAATAAACACTTTCCCTTTATAACAACTAAACAACGAAAGCAACCAGTTAAAGCTCAAGAGATCTGCCCTCCACCTTCTCGGCTCCCACAGTGACTTTCCTTCCATGTTCCAACCTAGCAAGATCAAGGGCTGTTCGCTGACCCAAAGCCCTGCTAGCCTGTAAACTCTGTTTGTGGGTCACCATCTTTTTTTTTTTTTACATTTATTTTTATTTATTTGGCTACATAGAGTCTTAGTTGTAGCATGTGGGATCTAGTTCCCTAACCAGGGATCGAACCCAGCCCCCCTGTATCAGGAGCACAGAGTCTTAGCCACTGGACTGCCAGGGAATTCCCGTGGGTCACCATCTTATCCCACTACCTGTCATAGGACCCAAGCCCAATATCTGAGGATAGAAAAATAATAGTGCTACAGATGCATCCTTCTCTGGGGCTGGGTCTTTGCACAACCATCATCCCCATCTCCCTTCTCTAGGAGAAAGAGTCAGCGGCTAATGTCGCCCAGGCCCATCCTGGAAATACAGAACATCTGGTTTTTCTTTTTTTTAACCTGCATCTGTTTACTCGGCTGCATCAGACCTCGGTTGCAACGTGCGGGATCTTTTTTGCGTCACGTGGGACATTTCCTGCGCTGCACGGACTGTCTGTGTCGCTTGGGTTCAGGAGTCACTGCACATGGGCGTCCGTTCCTCAGCCTGCAGGGCCTTAGTTCCCCCACCAGGAATCGAACCTGGGTCCCCCACATTTCAAAGTGGATTCTTAACCACTGGACCACCTGGGAAATCCTTGTTTTTTTCTTTATCTAAAGCTGGTTTGTGAAAGTCTTTGAGAGCTAGAAATCATCTTCCAAATTCATTTCCTCTTTCAACCACTAAATAAATCTTCCCATAGTAACCCTATGAAGTGATGAGTAAGACACTGCTGGGAAAATTGGTATGTGTACAAAATAAAGAAACTTCCATTTATATATGATATGTGTGTGTACTGTGTGTGTGTGTGTGTGTAATATAGCCAGAAGAGTCAAGAAAGGGAAAAACCCATCCACCAACCAAGTACATCCCTGTAAGTCATAATATGTAAAATTCCTTTATTGTTGAGGAATAGAGAGAGACATCATATTTGTAGGACGCGACAGAAATTCCAGGGCGATCTGTAGTCAGTGGTTACAGGGACTGGGGATGCTCACAAGGCAGTTTCTGCAGCAAGTGGGACAGAGGGAAGAAGGGGTCAAACCACAAGAGTGTTCCGGGGTGGGGAGGAGGAAGGGAAATAGAAGCGTGTGCATCTAGGGGTGGGTGTCTTCACGATGTAGCCCAGGAGTCCAGGAGTGGAGTGCTGAGGACCAAAAAAAAGACCACATCACATCTCTGCCCTTAAAATTCCCACCAACCGCCCCCTGGGGAGGTGGGGGAGAAGGGAGGGGCCTCTGGAAGGGAGCAGTAGGGAGAATGGAAGCCTCAGCCCTCAGCTCTCCACGTAGCCTTCGAACTAGAGGCTTGAGAAACCTCCCAGCTACAGCTGCTTGTGTCTTCCCAGCTGCCACATGCTTCGCACTATCCCCTGATAGACCCTGTGTTCGTGGCCTGAGGGGCCCACACAGAAAGACTTAGTGGCAAAGTTCACATCATCCTGGCATCCCTATGAGCCGGCATACACACAGCCCTGTCCAATGCACCTTGGAGCTAATGCTCCCCTGGCCTCACCCCGTCCCTCCTCCTCTTTCCAGAAACCTCCCCGAGGAAGGACAGGTCCAGGGATCACTTCCTTTTTCAGCAGTTTCACATGAATGAAATTAGGCCGCACGATGATCTGTGTTGATCCATCTCATCTAATCTTTACATGCCAGCCCCCAGGGGCCTTGAGTTTATACTCCCCAGTACTTAACAGGTTCAAAATGCGCCATCTGTGGTGAGATTACGAGGGTGGCAATTATGAGCCCGGTCCCTCCGAAAAAGCCTAGATTCACCAGAAAGCATTAAAAGTAGATTTCTATAATGCGCTTGTTTCTGCCATTTGTATAAAATACTATGGCAAAATTGCACTGTAATTATCTTTACGGCCGATGCATAACGTTGGGGAGAGTATGTCATCCAGATATAGCTGCCCGTATAATTATCTGGCCGTCGGCAAGACTGAAATAACAATCTAATGAGAGCAAAACGATACAGTAAGCAGCATGTAATCAGCAAGTTATGGTTATTACAGCTTTTTGTGCCCCCTCGCCCAACACTGAATCGGGGGCACAGTCATGACTCTGGGGCCGGGAGTCATGCTCCGGCAGTTTCATTGAGAGCCAGCTCCTGGTCCTTGGGTCTCCCTTGAGACCAGTGAGAGGGGGTAACAGGGCCGCAGGGGGAGGGGCAGGAGTCTCCAGGAAGACAGAGGCTTCCTGACCCCTCTCTGCCTCCCCCGACCCCTTTCTCGGGAAGCCAGTGTAAAGAAAACCATCCGTGAGCTGCTACTGCTGCAGGTGGGAAGCTGGTGTCAAGGCAGATGGTTCCGCATTTCGACAAGACACTCCCCCCGGGGGGACTCACGTCCGCACACCAAGTGGAAGGACTGTCAGCCCACTCAGGCCTAGGGTCCAGCCCAGACAGCTTCAGACAGACAGACCAGAGGCCACCGAGGCGACACTGGGGACTTCCCTACACCTCCCAGGCGGCGACAGTTACAGTGAAGCCCAGGCACAGCGCTGTGTGACAGGCGCGGCTCTGAACGCTCGACCCGGACGCAAAGCAACAGCCCTGTGAGACAATATTACCATCCCCGCTCTTCAGAGGAGGAAACAGAGGCACAGAAGGATTATGTAACCTGGCCACGGGACACAGCCAGTGAGTGACAGATCCAGGATTCAAACTCAGGCCACGCTCTTATTCATTACTCTACACAGAGCCACTGCGATACTCTATGGTGGACCCAGCAACCCAAGATTCAGGATGATCTGGACGGTTTCAGCCTCCATGGGAAGCAAAATGCTTCACGTGCGAATAAATGTGTACCTATACTTATCCAATAATGATCTCTCCATCTTTTGCACAAATCACAAGAGCATACAGTACAAAAACAGAAGTTGCCCATCCAAGAAACCCCAGGGGAAAACCTCCCTTTGCTAAATCCCCCTACTCACTCCTGCTCAATTGTAAGCTGGGATCAGTGAGGCTGGAAAGAGGTGAGAAAGAGGAGTGTGTGTGTGTGTGTTTATGTGTTTTTCTGTGTGCACACGCGCGTGTGTGTGCGGTCACAGACAGGCACACACTTCTCAGTGTCGGGATATATTTAGGGCGTTAATTATGAGCATTAATGCCCATAGCATCAGAGGAAATGACCCTCTGGAAACGCCCCTCCTACCCCACCGCATACCCACAATCCCCTCTGCTGCCCTGAGTAAGTGCTTACCTCATTCCACACTGCGGGGGTACTTGAAGGTGCCAAAGCTGGGGATGTTTTCTTGGTTCATATCAACAGGAGTGTCTGGGGGGATGTAAGGATGCAGTTAGGAGGGATTTTTCCAACTATGACCTTCACCCTAACCCAAAAGCAAAGGGCAGGCTATGCAGGACAGCTCTGGAAGGCAGAGTTAGGAAGAAGAGGGACTCTGTCTGGGAAACGGGGCAGGGGCAAGCAAGCCTCTCTGACCCTATCCCAACTGCAGCAGGACCTTCTTAGAAAGGTCTCCCTGCTTTGCTCCCGGGGAGGGCTGGACTGTGGGTCCAAGCTGATGGAGCAGAAGGGGTGGAGGGGCCCTCGCTGAAGCTAGGAAAAGCCCTGTCTTCCCCGCTGCTGACAAACATGCCGCGGTTGCCCCCGGCTACGCCTTTGCAGCAGCCTAGCCTTCCCCCTTGCTCCTACCTGCCTGGAGGTTCCTCTTGCCCATGAGACCCACAAAGAAGTCATGCATGTCACCTGCAGAGAAAGGGCCAACACGGTCAGCCATCACGATGAGGGGCGGATACATTTCCCCAGATAGGCGTCCAGACTTCTGAGGCTGGCTCTGGTCCCTGTTCCTGCATCTCTCCACAGCTTGTCCCCCCAACGGTGAGCAGGCTGTCCCCTTAGCCCAGCCTCTCCATCTATCTCCCTCTCCCCCATCTTTCAAGAACTCTCTAAAATTCTGCCCCCCAGCAGGTGCCTGATTTAGAATCTTCACAGCCACCAAGAGATCCTCCTGGCTTGCACTACCGCTCCTGGGGAGGAAGACCTCACCAGGCCGCTCACACCTGCCTCCTCTGGCGCCCAGGGGCCGCTCACGCTCTGCAGAGGCTGACTGAACATGTGCAGCTGGGACGCTGTTTGCACCCGTGGAACTGGGGCCAGCCAAGATTGTCACCGGGCCCCGCGCCCATGGAGCGCCGGGCAAGTGGGCAGCAGAGATCAGGAGGGAGAGGGGGCTACTCACGCTTCTGGGGAAGTGGTGACTCCTTCAGACCTGTGAAGCAAGAAGAAGCATGTAACTGGGGAATGGGATCTGCAAAGAGAATATTGGACGGGACTCAGATCACAATCCTCAATCAGTCACAAGCCATCTCCAGTCTCCTTCCCTCCTGGAGGGTCTCCCAGGCCTATTTAATCTTCAGAATCCTGCCCCCCCAACCCCTTTCCCTGGGGCTGTGTCCTACCTACGCTGGCCTTGCTCAGCATCTTGAGCAATCCATCCAGGGAGACCACGCGGCTGTCATAGAGTCTCCGGAGCAATGATGGGGGCAGCTGGTAGAGATTTGAGTCCTTCTGGGGGAGAGAGACAAAGAGGGCCAAGGAAGAGGCTCACCCCCAGTCCTCTCACTCTTTTCCCACAAGAAATGGCCTCTTCCCGAGCTCATCACAGCTGAACCTGACATCCTGTTTCTTTCCGGATTTCCTCTGGTTCACACTAGAAGAGAAGTGGGCTCTCAAATTGTGGTCTGTGGACTAGCAGCATCACCGCTGGGAGTTTGTTAAAAGTACCTAATCTTGGTCCTATACCAGACCAACTGAGACAGAATCTGAGTCTTAAGCAGGCTCCCAGGTGATTCATAGACACAGCAAGATTTGGGAGGCGCGTGTAGAGGGAACACACTGGGTGTGCCTGAGGCCGACCAACTGTCCCAGTTTGCCCGGGTATGTGGGGTTCTCAGTGCTCACGCTGGGACAGTCCCGGGAAAAGCAGGACAGCTGGCCATGCTGTCGCCCAAGCTCAAAGGGGACAGGCTCCTGGGGCCCCTCCCAGCTCCTGCCAGCTCTCGGTGAAAAGGGCCTTTGGTTCTTTTCACCCTGGCACATCCGGAACTGGTCTGACCAAGGATATGGTTGCCCCACCAATTGAGTGAGCCAGGAATTTCCGAGGACGGTTCGTCAAACAGAGCTAGTATCCTCTGGTCTGTGCTCCGTGGCTGAGCCACAGACAGTGGGTGGTCCTGGGGACAGGTGGGCGTAGGCAACGGGGGCCACCAGCCATCCTGGAATCGCCCGTCTCTCCACTGAGCTCTGGGTGTTTCTCTCCCTCTGCTTCCCACTGCCTCTCCCTCTCTTTCCTTTTCCATTGGTTTCCACTGTGGTTTTCTCTCTCCCAGCTCCCCCCGCCCCAGATTTAGAATTTCAGAAGGCAGCATGCTCAGAATGAAGCCTCTTCTTCTCCACAACTGAACCCCATTGTAGCGCCACTGCTAAGCAGGGGTTCTTAATCATCTTGGTGGTTTCACACATGCCAAGCTGGCTGCCCAGGCACACACACATCCTACCCCCGTCTGTCCCAATCTCTCTCATCCTCATGGACCTGTGGGGAGAAGGGGCAGGAAGGCAACCTCTCTTTTGCTGGACAAGAGGGGCAAGGGTGCACAGCTCAGCTGTCTCAGAGCAACAGACACAGATATTCCGTCTCCAGCTGGAACTCTGGCTCCAAACACAGTGTCCAGCATTTGTCTGGCACTTGCTCTGTGTTTTTTGAACTGGTTCTGGTCTTTTGGAGCTGGTGCAGCAGCCACCACCTGCAAGGTTGCCAGCCCATCATGCCTTGGGACACCCCACCACCTGGACAAAAGCTGATGATGTCTCTCTTTGCCCAGCCCACAGCTTCCCACGCAACCACTTCACCAAATTGTTCAAATACTCTGCGCACCTCCTGTAATGAGATGCTAAACAGATCCAAGCTGGAGAGGCAGTTAGACTTCACACGCTGAATTTGTAATAAGTTCCACCTGTAATCATCTCAAAAGCACTCGCGCCAATGTAATTGCTGTCTTTTCAAAACGCTGAAAAGACTTCCTCCTTGTTTCCCCCAGGACCCGTCTTCTGACAACCCTACTCTTTTTCTTAGAGGGACTTCAGAAATTGGGGCCCAACTTGTCTTGTGGTTTTTTGTTTCCTATCCTGACTAAGCAGAGGCTAGAGGAGGATGTGGGACAGGAGGAAAGAAAGGCTTGGGATCTTAGGAGCCCCTGAGGTTACTGGGGGTGGAAGAGCAGGGAATAAGGGAATTCATGTGAATTTTTAAAACCACATAATACGTAAGACTGACAGGTAACAAAGAATACAAACGACTATTTGGGAGAGAAATTCTGACTGTTTCATACCATCCAGGGAGTGGGGAAGATCTGCCCCCTGCAAAGGGAAAGAACCTGAGCTGGACTCAGGGAACATGTGACCACCTTATCCAGCGCCATCCGCTCACCAGGTCACCCGACAATCAGACAAACACCGTACCAGCGGGGCGGCTTTTACGTACAAGGTGTCAAAGACACGCAGAAGGCCAGAGACGCAGACAGGCACACTGGGAGAACATGGGGCCCCCAGAGAGGCCAGGCAGTCCGGCTCTCTGGTGGATGATCCAAGTAACTCCCCACCCGCCCGCCCCACCTTCCTCCCTACAGAGGTGGGACAGGCAGAGCGCGGCCCCATGATGGTGTCGGCATTCTGCCGGGGTGGGCAAACCAGAGGGGCAGCCTTACCTTGCTGAGACCCCCACCGGGCACCACCTGCTCGTGTGACTCCTCACAGACCGCACCAAGACTGTGAGCCGAGCTGAGGGCCAGGATGACTGCGAACAGCAGGGCGCTCCGCATGATGCCTAGGAGGGCAGAGAGACCGGACGGGGGAGGCGGGGAGCAGGAGGACACCACACAGGGGCAAACGCAGGAGGCATTCACCCCAGCCCCCGGCTGCCCCACCCCAGCCTTGGTCGGGGAGAGCCTCTGAGCTGGAGGGGCTCAGTACCACACGTTCCCCCTGTCTGCACCTGGCAAGAAGCGATGGCGCAATAATGCCGGGGGCTCCAGCTCCCAGGGGAGATAATGGACTGACGGCACCTGCACGGGTCTATTTCGTTAGTCAGCTGGAGGAGGGATCCTGAATGCTATTTTCCAGCCCTAGATACCCTAAGACTTAGGCCAAAACTTTCTAAATATTGGAAGAATCCGTCTGTACCCACAGGCTCCAGGCATCACTACATCAACCCCTATCGCCTCTTTCTGCTCACCTGCCCAGCAGCCCACTCCCTGATCAAAGGCTGCCACCTCTATCCCCTCCTGACTCTGCCCCTGTCCTCTGGTCCCAGCTCCCATCCATCCAGCATTCTCTGGCTTGTGCCTACCTGTGGAGCAGCTTGGAGCCTGGGACAGATGGTCTCTCAGGATCGGGGAGCTGGCCGGAAGCACTGTCTGCTCCCCACAAGCGCTGCTGGTGCTGCTGCTGTGAAGAGAGAAACAGAGTGGAGGGACTGGGGAATGTGGCAGGAACTCCGGCCCAGCTCCCTGATAAAGGCTCTGGGAGGGTCTGGGGGAGCCGGGGGAGGGGCTGAGAATCACCAATCCCAGGGTGGCTGGCAGGGCGGGAGGCTGGTGGGGGTGAAGGGGGACACAGGCTGCAGACACGCGCGCGCATACACACACACACACCGCAAACCCAGCAGTGAGCTGAGGTTATCCAGCAACTCACAGCCCAGCAGCCCTGGAGCTGGGCACACTAAGGATGATGTTGCTTATGCAACTCAATAGATGAGGTCCCTGGGCTCTTTCTCCCCATGTCTACCCACCAGCTCTTTGCCCTTTAAACTTCCAGCCTCAACTGCCAGGCCAAACCAATCTCGGGCAGGTCATTTTCTGCCCCCCCCCCCCCCCCCC